TATTTATACTTCTCATTCAACCACAATTAAATTCACTCTATCTAGGAGGCACAGTTTATATGAATAGTATTTATTGTTTTACAATAACAAGCTGGAATGAAAACAAGCAAAAATGAAATAAAAGTAACGACTTTCTACTTGCCTTTTTAAAAAATGTAAGGAGTAGAAAGTACAGATAAATGTGTGAAAATGTAAGAAGTAGAAAGTAGGCTGAAAATTATTTACTCAAGTAAAGTACAGATACCCAAAAATTGTACTTAAGTACAGTAAAGAAGCATTTGTACTTAGTTACTTTACAACTCTGGAAAAGTGTTTGCGGACGGTYATGACAAGAAAATGCRAACAAAATGAAGCAATTTTYGTCATGCARYTGTGACAAGAACTGAACTCAGCAGTTCAAATGGAGCATGTGGAGGTCTTCACAGCGTCATCTTCTTCCCGTTGAAGACTGGTGGCATTGACGCATCCTGTTGTTAGGTTTTATTGGTTTAATTGGAAGGTTGGTGGGTTTTTCTGTGGCAAATAGGCCAATCAAATTATAATTCTGTCTAACTTGTGATCGTTCCAGGTTAACCCTCCCAGAATAAAAGCATTACTAGACCATTTAGTATTTTATAAATACGGTTTGAATTTGGGTTGGCTTTTTGTTCTTTCCATTGGTACTCCGGCCAGAAATGAGAAGATGATGTGCGCTATAAGTCTGTGTCTGTCTTGGGGACGACACTTCCCTGACCTCACGGCCCATAGATGGACAGGAGCAGCTTTTTCCAGAGCAGCAGCTTGAAAACTCTCTAAAAATATTTTTTCCAACGATTTAGCTTTTTTTTTTTAGATAGACTTTATTGTCATTGTACAGAGCGCAATGAAATTACAGTTCAGAACACCCATTCAGAAGAAGACAGAACATAACAAACATAGGAGAGCAGGTGCTCTAGGTCATACAGCCACAGACCCTGCACAGAGCAAGGATCATCTTCATGAAGACATCATGAGGAGGCGCTACCCTTAACAGGAAAACCAAAAACCACACAATGGAAGATCAGGGGGAAAAAATCATAACACTGTGACACACTATGGTGTTTATAAAAAAAAAAACCTCTGCATAGAGCAGATTTATTAGCCAGAGGAGTAAGTGAGTTGTGAATATCTGAAAAATGAGCCCAAAGAATCCGGTCCCCAAAACCCGTGCAGCCATAGTTCAKAATGGATGTAAAGTGTTCCTTCTGTGCGGCCCTCAGCTTGCTCCAGGAACCAGGTCACAGACAAGTGTGAGAGCGGGGAGGTGTAGGGCAGAGCCTCAGTCAACGTAACCCAACCAGGAAGAATTTAGTCCACAGCTCTTCAAGGCCATGTAGGGGAGAGCCAAATCTGTAACAATTATTCAAGATTTGCAACAAAACAAACATGTTTTTTTTATGTCTTAATCA